AACGTCGTGATTTTTTGTTATTTTATTTTCACCTACGTGACTTTACCTCTTCAGAACAACTACGCTCTCAACGTTTTGGTGTCACCAAATTGTACCATATCCTCTTATTGCTAAGAAAGCCCTTGAGATACTCACACCGTTTGTTACAACGTATCTTTGCGAGCAATCTTTATCGAGGATGGTAGACATAAAACTACTAAAAGGAAGACTTTGTTGCGAAAATGATGAGAGTGGCACTTGCCAAGGTGAAGCCGCGCATTTCTGAACTTGTATCTGAAAGGCAACAGAAACATTCACATTGATTTGCAGTAAATATTCATTGAGTTATGTTTTTGTGTGAAATTCATGTTTTGTTGGTTTTGTTCTTTGAACACAGTGATTTTGTGTGCAACTGATGCATTGTTCATTTTGTGCACTAATAAAATATATACCTATGTTTTGAAGAAATAATATTTTATTTTTCCAATTACGAAGGTTTCGGTGAATGCACTGATGAAGCTTGCAGGGTTCAGTACCTCCGTTAAGGTTAAGAACCACTGATCTAGAAGCTCGCTGCCACTTCCGCTCCGTGATTATGCAACCTTTACACGGACCACCTGAACGGAGCTCGCAAAAGAGCAGTGTGGTCCACGGAACACGGTTTGAGAACCGCGGCTCTAGAACTTACATCTGTAATACTCCAGAATATACATGTTATACTCTAGAACGTACATTCGTAATACTTGAGAACATACATCTGTGATACTCTAGAACGTACACCCGTAATATTCTAGAACGTACATCCGTAATACTCTGGAACGTGCATCCGTAATACTGTAGAACATATCGGTAATACTAGAGAACATACATCCGTAATATTCTAGAACACACGAGGAGGAAGGAAACTTTTGAACCTTCACGTATTCAGACGCGCGCACCGAGGGCGGTCTTCAATGAAACGCAGGAACCGTGTCCGTGGCGCAGTGCGATTGTTTTCACAGTGATGGTCCGAATTAAAACGTACATACAACAACATGCAGCACTTTGATTTACACTCAGCAGCGTGAGATATATATAACGTACCCAACGGAATCCGTCACGTAACCATCTCCAATAGCAGCAGCAGCAGCAACTCGCTCTCAATAGTAAACGATAACAAATGTAAGAAATATTGATCGCTTACGACGGGAAGAAAAAGCAGCGTCTTGGTGACAAACTAACCTAAGCAGACGCTTCGCCTGCTGTCCGTATCAGTTCCTCCACGTAATGTCAGAGCAGGTTTCCCATCGCTCTATGCGGTCGATGAGTTCCAAAAAAAGCGGGCAGCGCAAAGCGAAACGGCATAGCGTGGACCGCACGATCAGCCAACAAGCCAGAGGGAAGCACACAGTACACACACAGTACGCACGTAGTGTGCACACAGCACACACACAGTGTACACACAGCACACACACAGTACGCACGTAGTGTGCACAAAGCACACACAGTGTACACACACAGTACACACACAGTGTACACACAGCACACACAGTGTACACACACAGTACACACAGTGTACACACAGCACACACACAGTGCACAAAAAGCACACACACCGTGTACACACACAGTACACACACAGTGTACACACAGCACACACAGAGTGTACACACAGCACACACACACAGCGTACACACAGCACACACACATTACACACACAGTGTACACACAGCACACACACAGTGTACACACATAGTACACACAGTGTACACACAGCACACACACAGTGCACAAACAGCACACACAGTGTACGTACACAGTACACACACAGTGTACACACAGCACACACAGTGTACACACAGCACACCCACAGTGTACACAAAGCACACACGCAGTGTACACACAGCCCACACAGTGTACACACAGCACACACACTGTACACACAGCACACACACAGTGTACACACAGCACACACACAGTACACACACAGTCTACACACAGCACACACAGTGTACACACAGCACACACACAGTGTACACACAGAGCACACACAGTGTACACACAGCACACACAGTGTACACACAGAGCACACACAGTGTACACACAGCACACACACAGTGTACACACAGCACACACACAGTGTACACACAGTACACACACAGCACACACAGTGTACGCACACAGCACACACACAGTGTACACACACAGCACACACAGAGTGTACACACACAGCACACACACAGTACATACACAGTGTACACACAGCACACACACAGTACACACACAGTGTACACAGCACACACACAGTACACACAGTGTACACACAGCACACACAGTTTACACACAGTACACACACAGTACACACACAGTGTACACACAGCACACACACAGTGTACACACACAGTACACACAGTGTACACACAGCACACACACAGTGTACAAACAGTGTACATACAGCACACACACAGCACACACAGCGTACACACACAGCACACAGTGTACACACAGTGTACACACAGCACACACACAGTACACACAGTGTACACACAGCACACACACAGTGTACACACAGTACACACACAGTGTACAAACACAGTGTACATACAGCACACACAGCACATACAGCACACACAGCGTACACACACAGCACACACACAGTGTACACACAGCACACAGTGTACACACAGCACACACAGTGTACACACAGCACACAGTGTACACACAGCACACACAGTGTACACACATCACACACAGTGTACACACAGAGCACACACAGTGTACACACAGCACACACACAGTGTACACATACAGCACACACACAGTGTATACACAGTACACACACAGCACACACACAGCGTACACACACAGCACACACACAATGTACACACACACCACACACACAGTGTACACACAGCACACACACAGTGCACACACAGTGTACACACAGCACCAACACAGCACACACACAGTGTACACACACAGTACACACACAGTGTACACACAGCACACACACAGTGTACACGCACAGCACACACAGTGTACACACACAGCACACACACAGTGTACACACACAGCACACACAGAGTGTACACACACAGCACACACACAGTACATACACAGTGTACACACAGCACACACACAGTACACAGTGTACACAGCACACACACAGTACACACAGTGTACACACAGCACACACAGTTTACACACAGCACACACACAGTACACACACAGTGTACACACAGCACACACACAGTGTACACACACAGTACACACAGTGTACACACAGCACACACACAGTGTACAAACAGTGTACATACAGCACACACACAGCACACACAGCGTACACACACAGCACACAGTGTACACACAGTGTACACACAGCACACACACAGTACACACAGTGTACACACAGCACACACACAGTGTACACACAGCACACACACAGTGTACAAACACAGTGTACATACAGCACACACAGCACATACAGCACACACAGCGTACACACACAGCACACACACAGTGTACACACAGCACACAGTGTACACACAGCACACACAGTGTACACACAGCACACAGTGTACACACAGCACACACAGTGTACACACATCACACACAGTGTACACACAGTGTACACACAGAGCACACACAGTGTACACGCAGCACACACACAGTGTACACATACAGCACACACACAGTGTATACACAGTACACACACAGCACACACACAGCGTACACACACAGCACACACACAATGTACACACACACCACACACACAGTGTACACACAGCACACAGTACACACACAGTGTACACACAGCACCAACACAGCACACACACAGTGTACACACACAGTACACACACAGTGTACACACAGCACACACACAGTGTACACGCACAGCACACACAGTGTACACACACAGCACACACACAGTGTACACACAGAGCACACACATTGTACATACAGCACACACACAATGTACACACACAGTACACACAGTGTATACACACAGTACACACAGTGTACACACAGCACACAGTGTACACACATCACACACACAGTGTACACACACAGTACACACACAGTGTACACGCAGCACACATACAGTGTACACACAGTGTACACACAGAGTACACACACAGCACACACACAGTATACACACAGCACACACAATACACACAGTGTACACACACAGTACATGGGCAGTACACACACCGCACACACACAGTGTACACACAGCACATACACAGTGTACACACAGCACACAGTACATGTGCAGTACACACAGCACACACATACAGTGTACACACACAGTATACACACAGAGTACGCACACAGTATACACACAGTACATGTGCAGTACACACACAGCACATAGTGTGCACGCAATACACACAGTACATACACAGAGTACACACACAGTACGCACATACTCTTTGGTTCTTTCGGTAAAGTCACGTAGGTAGAAGAAATAAGAGATCACGACGTTTCGATCGCAGCAACAGGCGACCGTCTTCAGGTGAAAAAAGAGACGGTCGCTTGTTGCGATCGAAACGTCGTGATCTCTTATTATTTATACCTACGTGGTGACTTTACCGAAAGAACCGGAGAGAATGGATTCCTGCAGTCACGAAAGCTTCAAATCAAGTACGCAAATAGTACACACACTGTACACACAAGCAGTACACACGCAGTAATACATAGTACACACGCAGTACACACGCAGTACAGACAGTACACACGCAGTACATACACAGTACATACACATTACACACGCAGTAATACACACAGTACACACGCAGTAATACACAGTACACACGCAGTACAGACAGTACACACGCAGTCATATACACAGTACACACGCAGTACAGACAGTGCACACGCAGTCATATACACAGTACACACGCAGTACAGACAGTACTCACGCAGTCATATACACAGTACACACGCAGTACAGACAGTGCACACGCAGTCATATACACAGTACACACGCAGTACAGGCAGTACACACTCAGTACATACACAGTACACACGCAGTACAGACAGTACACAGTACACACGCAGTACACACCCGGTACACACAAATATTACACACACAGTACACAGTGTTGTCCCATGCCCGACCGCGTAGCCGCCAAATGAGAGTGAATTCAAACCGCATAGAGCGCATATTTGGTAGAAACAACAAGTTCGCCGCGTATTTGTTAAATCGCACAAATGGAACCCGTGCAAAGCGAGGGATACCCGTAAGAAACCAAAGACGAGCGGGGTAAGTCAGCAGCCAGGCGATGAGAGGGCGCCAAATGATACCTCAAACTCTGCAGCCCTCTATATATGACGGTGTTATGGGGCAACTCGTGTATGTTTACGTGTGGGAGAAAAGCAGAGCACCTGGATAAAACACACCCGAGTGAGGTGACAACACTCGATCCCACACAGTCCGAATGTAGCTGCAGCTCCTCCTGGCATGCCAGGGTACGGCCACCTCTTCAAATGCCCGCAGGAAGGGAGGTTCACAACATTGGGGTGCGGCGAGCCACCAACCCTTGCTGCTGCTGCTGCCTCCACGGTTCCTGGGTTACAGGCAGCCACGTGCAGCAGGAGGGTAGCGACCGCCTAAAATGACAGATTTGTTACGCAGTCCGCATAGGCTGGAGGCACGCGATTCGCTCGTCTGCCTATTTATTTTCGTTTCGTTCTTGATACGACGGCGTGGGTTGTGGTTTTTCCCGGCCTAACGAACACTCGCGCCTTGACTGACAAAACGTCACGAGATGTGGAGAGGCGAGCGTCGCGTTGACGGGGGACACTTCAGCGAGAGCACGGGCGGTCGCCAGGGACAACAGTGCCGGGCGGTCGCCAGGGGCGACGGTGCCGGGCCGTCGCCAGGGGCGACGGTGCCGGGCGGTCGCCAGGGGCGACGGTGCCGGGCGGTCGCCAGGGGCGACGGTGCCGGGCGGTCGCCAGGGACAACGGTGCCGGGCGGTCGCCAGAGGCGACGGTGTCGGGCGGTCGCCAGGGGCGACAGTGCCGGGCGGTCGCCAGGGACAACGGTGCCGGGCGGTCGCCAGAGGCGACGGTGTCGGGCGGTCGCCAGGGGCGACGGTGCCGGGCGGTCGCCAGGGACGACCGTGCCTAGCGGTCGCCAGGGGTGACGGTGCCGGGCGGTCGCCAGGGGCGACGGTGCCGGGCGGTCGCCAGGGGCGACGGTGCCGGGCGGTCGCCAGGGGCGACGGTGCCGGGCCAGGTGCTTCCCTGGGTTTCCGTTCAGAAGCAGGAGCAACAACTACTTGTGCTCAAAATTCCCGTTAACTTATATTGAGTGACTGACCAAGTTACAGCCACTTACCAACATCTTGTGCTGTGATTTGTTTGATTTATTTTGGGCTCTCCTGGCATTAAAGCCTCAACCCATGGCAAGTGACCCACCCCTACTTAACATCTGTGTAAAATAGCTTTATAGCTCATTTGATTCCTCCAGAAGAAATACAAATTCTGATTGTAAAATGGGTCACGGCTGTTGAGCACGCTGCACCACTGTTACCCCTGCACTGCGAGTAGCGTCCTTATTACAACTGTAATGCGATTGAATACATCCCATAGCTTACTTTGACTCATATTGCTCATTGTTTCCCGCACGCCCAATATTTATCTTGCACGGTATCCGTGCCATGAGCCAGTCCCCTCCCTTGAGAACTGCCGCCGCCTGCTGTTATACCCGATATCGATTTCCCCATTAAATTACAGCCATTGGATTCGGATAAAGCTCTCGGATTGAGTTGGAAACTGGGAAAGTGGCAGATGACCACGGCAGCTAACAGGCGACCGCGGCAGGTTGAATGCGGCCGGTGACGGGCGAGCGCGGCGTCGGTCGCTACATGGAGCTCTCGAGCGACTGGTTCACGTAGGGCAGCAGCTTGTCGCCGTGCCCGTTGGCCGCCCCGCAGGCGTCCCGGCGTCCCGGCGCAGTTCGCGACGGCGCGTCGGGACGCCTGGCGCAGTTCACGTACGAGTGACGCCCCGGCGACGTCGCCGGCAGCGAGGTCCTGGCACTGCTCGGCTGCCGAGAGCGCTCGCAGCTCCACAAAGTGGAGCGCGGGCTGGTCGTGGACGCAGCCTCGAGCGTGGCGACGGCAACGTCGCCGCCGCCGCCGGCATCGGCGCCGTCCGGAGGCTTCGGCGACTCGAGCGGCGGGACGTAGGCTAGGTTCGAGAAATTCCCGTTGGAGAAAGGTGGCCCCGGCCAGAGAGACAGCGCGTGGCCGTGCCAGACGTACTCGTGGCACGGCGTCCTCGAGGCTTCGTCCGCGCGGTCTCCTCCCGGCGGCAGCGGTGCCAGGTTGTTCCCGGTGCCCGGGGACGCCCGACGGTCTGAGAGGTCGTCCTCAAGCGGCGTTGCGCTCGGCAAGAGGCGGGCCACGCTCGCGTCCTTGTTGTTATTGTTGTTGTTGCGTAGAGGCGGCGGGGAAACGATGCCGGCGCCCCGGTCCGTGACGGCTTTCGGCACGAGGCTCGGAGCGGACTCGATCAGAAGTGGGAGCTCGATTTCCTTGCCGAGGTCGTCAAAAATCTTTCCTTCGAAAACGTCGATCATTGCCGTCTCCCCTGCGATCTTCATCGTTCCCACCTCTTTCCTCCCCGCCATGGGCGATGTCTCCGTCAGCTCCGAGAGGACCTCGACGACACAGACCTGCGCATCCGAGTCGGCTGTGACTGTGCAGCCGACTTCGTACGACTCGCCCAACCACCTCTGTTGCATAAAAAAGACAAAAGATCCCCCGTATAGCCTTAACAGGCTGTTGGGGCAGGTGCTGTTAGCGAGCACCTATGAAGGCCGGCACAGCACACGAGGGGGTGGGTGGCCAACACTACACCCGGCCGCCTTTGTCTCCCTCGTGGCGATGTTTACACACAGCACCAGGCACTCATTTGCGCCTGAGTCGACCTAGTTCAGATAATCGTCACCGGTGTTGGCTGTGAGCGAGAATTGAACCCGGGTCGCCAAGTTCGAAGCGCTGTTACACTACCGCTCCCCACACGTACACACGCACACACACACGCGCATGCACACACAACAACAACCACCACCATTCGCCACTAAGTGGCGGTGACGTCACCACGGCGCTTGTGCCAGGCTATGTGCACTCTAAGGCCGCGTGAAGTGTCGAACATCTGCTGGCAGTAGGTCACGGGACAGACCCAGGTGCCATGGGTTGACTGACTGAGATGACTGGCCGATGCGCCACCTGTGCCCCCGACTGTGCCAACTTGTGCAAACACACACACGCGCACACGACAAAGACCCCCCTTTATAACATAGTTTTTTTTAGTTAGATCGTGTAAAATAGAAATTTGGTTAAACCCACCACCAATTCGTAAGGTTTGTCACGTAAACGAACAAAAAAAGGTTTGTCACATAAACAAAAACTGCCAATTTGTTACTAATTATGCGATCTTACTCAAAAACCTTTATTATGAATATTGGTATGTAAAGCCTATGTGTTAAATCTCCCGTTCAGCATTGTTTTTGTCATTATTATTTTTGTTACAATAGTTCCTGAGCACAGCCCAAACGAGTGTTGGTTGAGTGGGCGAGCGAGTGCGTTGCCGTGACCTGCAGTGTTGGTGGTGGTTGAGCACGCTGTGATGGAGACGAAACAGTCGGTGTCTGCGAGAGCGACTCCCACGCATGGGTAGATGATCAATGTGTGAAGCACACGGCACACAGCAACCACTGTAGTAGCAGTAGCGCTAGACGAGTGATAAGGAGACGAGCGACCACCGCTGAGCAAGTGACTGGAATTGAATCGGTCACTGCCAGATCATCAATCAACCAGACCGCTGCTTCACTCTGAGTTGTATCCCGGCACCTGCGATTGGCACGGTTGTCTACGTACGGTGCGAAAGAAGTTCAACGTACACACGGGCGTATGAGGTGCAGGAGTCCGTGAGTTGGACCTGGGTGCGCCACCCTAGCTAGGGCAGCAGCAGGATTGCAGCTCGGGAGGAGTTGGTGCTGCCTGTGCTTATTTACAGGCTGCTGAGACGAGCGCTCTCCGTTTAACTCTCTGGAGCTCGTTTCCATCGGTGACTTTTATCGCTGACACCGTCGGGAATGCGACCGAAGAGTTGAATAAGGAAGCGCACCGAGTGGGGCTCCAGATGGACAGACTCAAAAGTCAGGCTTTTAGATTTACAGATCCACCATACACCACACCCTGTGTCCACCACTCCCCATTTACCATGCCCTGTGTCCACCACACTCTGTGTCCACCACACCCCATTCACCATACCCTGTGTCCACCATGCCTTGTCCACCACACCCTGTGTTCACGATGCCCTGTGTCCACCACACCCCATCCACCATGCCCTGTGTCCACCATGCCCTGTGTTCACCATGCCCTGTGTCCACCACACCCCATCCACCACACTCTGTGTCCACCACACCCCATCCACCACACTCTGTGTCCACCACACCCCATCCACCATGCCCTGTGTCCACCATGCCCTGTGTTCACCATGCCCTGTGTCCACCACACCCCATCCACCATGCTCTGTGTCCACCATGCCCTGTGTCCACCACACCCCATCCACCATGCTCTGTGTCCACCATGCCCCGTCCACTGCTTTATGCCTGTGGAGCCGGCACTGGCCATCTGGTGCCCAGAGAATGTGGGGGAGAAGTGAGGGGGCAGTGGGGGCTGGTGGTGTGGCTACCTGGAAGAGCCCGGCAAAGTGAGTCTCCAGGCTGGGGATGGGAGGCCACACGTGCTCCTTGATTCTGCACCACACAAAAAGACGAAGGATCCTCCCTGTAGCCTTTTACAGACGACTGGGGCACGTGGCGTTAAATCGAGCGGGGCCTACGAAGGCCGTCACAGGGGTTGGTCCCCTTTGTCTGCCCGATATTCACTACACACCACGCCAGGTACTCATTGAAGGCCAAGTTGACCCAGGGGAGGCCCAGGCTAAACGCACACACAAACACATCCACGCACACAGGCACACGGATACACCCGTGCAGTGCGCACACTTGGTTGGGCCCGTACGAGGCACAACGTAGCGGTGGAGTGAGCATGCGGACCTGCCGGCGTGAGCGAGCGCCGCGCCCAGAGCCATGAGCAGCAGAAGCAGCAGCGCCACCACCGCCAGCGCGCGGATGATCCAGGCGGCACCATCTGCACCAAAGACAACAAAAATCCTCCGTGTAGCCCACACGGACTGCTGGGCGAAGTGCCGTTCGTTGAGCAGCAGCGCCTGCGACGGCCGGGCCCCTATGAAGCGGTGGTGTGGCCAGCGCCATGCCATGGCCGTCATTGTCTTCCCAATGTTGATGTTTTAACTCAGCGCACCAGATACTCATTTCAGGCCGAGTCGATCTAGAGGTGGCCCAGACCCGATTCAGATACAGGTGTATCTCGATATACGCGAATTCGAGGTACAACGATTCATTATTACGTTGGTCGTATATGAATAGTATTGTTCGGTTTACGTGTCGTTTGTAGCGTTATTATTTTTTCAATTCCAAATCGATTTTTTTGGAACAAAAAAATGTGAATACCTCATAATGAATGCACACTGGCGTCGCCCGTTGCGTGAATTATATTCTGTTCCAGGCTTCTTTGGCCTCACCGGCGCCGCCGCTCGTTGATGTTCGCAAGCCGTGCGCACACTCCTCGCGTCAACGCCTTTTCACACAACGTCGTTTGTTTTGCGATAACACGGTGTCTTGTTGTCATGGTAACGCGGTGTCTTGTTGTCATGGTAACGCGGTGTCTTGGTGTCATGGTAACGCGGTGTCTTGTTGTCATGGTAACACGGTGTCTTGGTGTCATGGTAACGCGGTGTCTTGTTGTCATGGTAACACGGTGTCTTGGTGTCATGGTAACGCGGTGTCTTGTTATCATGGTAACACGGTGTCTTGTTGTCATGGTAATGCGGTGTCTTGTTATCATGGTAACACGGTGTCTTGGTGTCATGGTAACGCGGTGTCTTGTTATCATGGTAACACGGTGTCTTGGTGTCATGGTAACGCGGTGTCTTGGTGTCATGGTAACGCGGTGTCTTGTTGTCATGATAACGCGGTGTCTTGTTGTCATGGTAACGCGGTGTCTTGGTGTCATGGTAACGCGGTGTCTTGTTGTCATGGTAACGCGGTGTCTTGGTGTCATGGTAACGCGGTGTCTTGTTGTCATGGTAACGCGGTGTCTTGTTATCGTGAGGGGTAACTGTGGCTGTGTACGCGCGGAGTGATGCGGTCCCCTCATCTCGAGTTCTTTGTCCTGCCATGGGGTAGTGACTGGTGCCCGATGTTATAGTGCAAGCGTGATTCAGATTTGCATTTTTTTTATTTATCCATGCCCTGTAATGTACAGGGTGCTTCAAAAATGTTACCACTTATATGGGACTATCGTTTTTAATGTAAAAATAACGGATAATACACTATAATGTTAATAGCAAAAAGTCAAAGAGTCTCCACTTGTTCGCCATCATTGTTAACGCATGTCTGGAATCTTCTCCAGGTGGTCTCCAGAGCCCGGAGTGTCAATAACATTTTTTAAGCAACCTGCACTTGGAGGAATGCCTCGCTTCACGCGGCAATTTGCAGGCAAGCATCTCGACTGGCGCGTTAAACGAGGACTCGCTGTTCTGTACGATCCACCCGACTGCGCCCCTCCCTCGCCCTCCCCGTTTTTAATCACGTGTCTGGACGCCACGGGTGGCAAGATGTTGACTACCTCGCCTGACATACCGGACGTTGTGGGTTCGATCCCGACCCTGACGCCTGCTGTATATTCGGAGTGTGCGTGTCTCTCTCCCTGTGGTCGCATGGATATTTCTCCGGGTCCTCTGGTTTTCCCTTCCACGTCTAGAATAATGTTTTTTGATTATTTGGCTGCTATAAATGTCTACGTGATGACAAGCCACTTTTTGGGCTATCATTTGTGGCCAGGTCGCTTCTGAAAACGTTCGACAGCTCAGTGGGCCTTACCTGGTAAAATAAAAAAAAGTTTAGTTTAGTTATGAGTCTCCATAATTATGCATGAAAATATTTTAGTTGTGTTGAAACGCGTTATTCTAGTAGGTTTTGGATCAGAATTTTTTTTATCGGGAACGCATCTTAGTGTATAAAATTTGTGACATTATGTAAAGACGCGTTTCAATATACGATTTTCCACTTTTGCGTTCAGGTGTTTCGATATCGCAGCCGAAACGCATAAAGAGGCACGCCCGCATTCGTCACCGATGTTGGCCGTTAGTGGGAATCCAACGTTGGTCGTTGGGTTCGAGGTGCAGTGCGAACCGCCGTGCCCACACCGGTCCCAGCCGCACGCACGCAGACAACGTGACCGCCAAGTTCCGCCGTGTGACCGCGCAGACGGAACGTGGGCAAGTCGGCGGCGCGCCACGTTACAACGGAGATGGAGAAATAGCGGCCCCCCTGGGGACGGAGGAAACGCCACCGCCGCCTCTTGCGCAAGGGCGACCTGGGTTACAATGTCAGGTGTTGTTAGCGAGCGCCTATTAAGGCCCGCACTGCCGCTCCTTCCGAGGGGGTGGTGTAGCTGGTGTGAGCTCACCGATGATTAATCGCACTATAATTGTGCACTCTGCAAATAGCTACAGGTAGCCAGGTGCGATGTTTAAAAATATATATTATGATTGTTATTCTTGGTTCTTTCGGTAAAACCACAGCTGTGGTTTTCACACCTGATGATGATTGCTTGTGTTGCAGTCGAAAATTTTTAATGTTTTATATTTTTATTATTTTATTGTTTGTCCTAGCACAGGGCTCTCAGGACCGGCGGCGCTGTGTTCCACAGGAGGGCCGTCGTCTGTCAGATTGTGGGGGTGGCGTGTTACACGTAAACCTTCTACGTGACTTTACCGAAAGAACCAAGAATATGAATCCCTGCAGTCACGAAAGCTTTATATAAAAATTATGATTGTTATAAGAGAAGGCAATTGTGATCATTGGATCCTGAGGAGCCACGTCCACAGCAGAGTACGGGGGCAGGCCTCCAATTTAGATTTGGGTTGACATCGGACTAAGGAATTCAGCTGCGTTGGTGTGACGTGGAGGGTGGTGTGACGTGGTGGTGTGACGTGGAGGGTGGTGTGACGTGGAGGGTGGTGTGACGTGGTGGTGTGACGTGGAGGGTAGTGTGATGTGGAGGGTGGTGTGACGAGAAGAGGGTGGTGTGACGTGGTGGTGTGACGTGGAGGGTGGTGTGACGAGAAGAGCGTGGTGTGACGTGGGGGCTGGTGTGATGTGGAGGGTGGTGTGACGTGGTGGTGTGATGAGAAGAGGGTGGTGTGACGTGGCGGTGTGACGTGGAGGGTGGTGTGACGAGAAGAGCGTGGTGTGACGTGGTGGTGTGACGTGGAGGGTGGTGTGACGAGAAGAGCGTGGTGTGACGTGGGGGCTGGTGTGATGTGGAGGGTGGTGTGACGTGGTGGTGTGATGAGAAGAGGGTGGTGTGACGTGGTGGTGTGATGAGAATAGGGTGGTGTGACGTGAGGGGTGTCTCTGATCTCCTATTGCGGCCGACCTGTCCCCATCTCGCAAGGATTCTCCGCGGGAGGAGAGGCGTCAGGGTGGACCGACTGTGAGTGTTTACTTGGACTCGGCTACACCAGCACGCCGCCTCCGTGGTGCTGGTGTAGCCGAGTCCAAGTAAACACTCACGAGAGACGGGAACCCTAACCCCTAGGGTAATGACAACTTCGGCCATTTGGCAATCGCTCCGTTGTCCTAGCACAGGGCTCTCAGGACCGGCGGCGCTGTGTTCCACAGGAGGGCCGTCGTCTGTCAGATTGTGGAGGTGGCGTGTTACACGTAAACATTGAAGAGTCGGTCCCAAACTCCACGCAACCGTCCCTAGGGAGTCTAACGCCGACCAGGCGCTCCCTTGCTCGGACACGGGAGCCGCTGCTGCTTCAACGCGGAACGATCTCGCACACATTTATACACCAGGTACTCATTTGAGGCTGAGTCCACCTAGGGAAGGCCCGAGACCGGTTCAGATAATCGTCACTGGTGTTGGCCGTGAGCGGGAATCGCCAGGTTCATAGCGCAGCGCGCTAACCGCTACACTATCGCTCCCCACACACAGACACACACACAGAGACACATACAGACACACACATACACACACACACATACACACACACAGAGACACACACACAGAGACACACACACAGAGACACACACACAGAGACACACACACAGAGACACACACACAGAGACACACACACAGAGACACACACACAGAGAGAGAGACACAGAGAGAGAGACACACACAGAGAGAGACACACACAGAGAGAGACACACACAAACAAACAAAGATCCCCCATATAGCCTTAACAGACTGTAGGGGCAAGTGCTGTTAGCGAGCACCTATGAAGGCCGGAACGGTACACGAGGGGGTGGATGGCCAGCACCACGCCCGACCGCCTTTGTCTCCCTCGTGGCAATGTTTACACACAGCACCAGGTACTCATTTGAGGCTGAGTCGACCTAGGGGAGGCCCGGGACCGGTTCAGATAATCTTCACTGGTGTTGGCCGTGAGCGGGAATCGAACCCAGGTCGCCAGGTTCATAGCGCAGCGCGCTAACCGCTGCACTATCGCTCCCCACAAGACACAGACACACATAGAGACACACACACACAGAGACACACACAGACACACAGAGACACACACACAGACACAAAGAGACACACACACAGACACACACACAGAGACACACTGAGACACACACACAGACACACAGAGACACACACAGAGACACACACACACAGACAGAGACACACACAGACACAGAGACACACACACAGACACACAGAGACACACACACAGACACACAGAGACACACACAGAGACACACACACAGAGACACACACACAGAGACACACACACAGACACACAGAGACACACACACAGAGACACACACACAGACACACACACACAGAGACACACAGAGACACACACACAGACACACAGAGACACACACACATACACACGACATACACACACAGAGACACACACAGACACACACACTGAGACACACACACAGACACACAGAGACACACTGAGACACACACACAGACACACTGAGACACACACACAGAGACACACACAGACATACAGAGACACACAGAGACACACACACACAGACACACACAGAGACACACAGACACATACACACAGAGACACACACACAGAGACCCACACACGCACAGACACACACACACAGACACACACACACAGACACACACAGACACACACAGAGACACACACACAGACACACACACAGACACACAGCGACACACACAGAGACACACACACAGACACACACACAGACACACAGAGACACACACACGCACACGACTAATTGAAACTCGCACACTGCGCAGCTATCGCGGATCGAGCAGAGCGGCTGTGGGAGCCACTTATTTATTTACTCGCATTTGTGGTGACTGGTTTCGATATTCGCTTTAAAACTGCGCAGTAGATGTTAAATGTATGTACGTGTGTTTTTGCACTCTGTGTGTGTGGAGGTGAGCGATTGCGTGCATGTGTGTGTCTTTGCATGTGCGTGTGTGTGTGTCGTTGCGTGCTTGCGATGTATGTTGTCAATCGTTCCCTTGGACACCCTTGTAAACTAGATGTTCCATCTCAATGCATTTCCCAGGTGAAAATATTAAAATATATATTTTATGTTGCTTTGTGGTTTTACCCAATTTCCGGGTGATATTTTCAAACCTGGCAATTTTTGGGATTGCAACACCGGCATGCGCCACGGTGGCTAGGAGATGTTAACTACCTCGCCTGGTATGCAGGAAGTCGTTGGTTCGATCTCAACCCTGACGCCTGCTGTATATTTGGAGTTTGCGTGTCTCTCTCCCGATGGTCGCGTGGATTTTTCTCCGGGTCCTCCACATGGCTGCTTTACATTTCCACATAATAAGCCAATTTGTTGAACTTTCATTTGTGATAGCCAGGTCGCAACTGAAAAAGACCTCTATAGCTCAGTGGGACTTACTTGGTAAATAGAAAAAAACAATTGTGATTCTTTTGGTTCGGTGTCCTGCGAATATCGAGCAAGCTTGTGTGAGTCTGTGCAGTGAGACTTTGTGCTCTAGAGAACAAGGTGTGCGTGTTGTAGACTATCATCCGTCTTATACAGTTCCAGACGTGTGAACGATACTTCTCGGCATGTGTGTTCTAGAGAGCACACGGTGCCAGCGTTGCGGAGTTGTGTGCCTGGTAAAATAAAAAAAGTAGTTCTAGATTTGAAGCTTTCGTGACTGCAAAGATCCATACTCTTTGGTTCTATTCGGTAAAGTCACGTAGGTAAAAAATAAAACAACAAAAATCACGACGTTTCGGCCACAACACAAGTGGCCTTCATCAGGTGAAGGGACCAGACTGTCCAGAGGATAGCGTTGGAGTGAAGACAGCCAAGCCCAGGTCGCGTCCTTTAATGTGTGGAGGAGGAAACAAAAAACGCCTTGACAAAGGAATTAGCATAAAATGATGTAGCATGAAATGATGTACTGGACCGGCACAGGGGGGGGGGGCGGGGGGGGGGGGAGTTTACAGAATGTTGGTGTGAAGGGAAATAAGCTGCTTTGAAAGTTCGGGATACCACTACTTAAATAAATATACTGCACAATTGAAAAAAGTTTAATGTTTGGTATGATTTAGAACATCTTTCCAATGATTGCTTAATTTGAAACCATCCTCCCGGTTGAAATTGTGTATGTGTTTGTAAATCTGAATTGCCTTGTGGACAAATCTCTGATAAAAACCCGTGGGTTTTCAGAGAGCCTTGGTATCGGAGAAAACTATATCGTGATCACCCAATGATATAGTCATCCTCTCAGCCGACAAAGGCAACGCTACTGTAATTATGGATAAAGATTCATACAACAACAAAATCCAGAACCTGCTCAACGATGGAAGTTACTTAAAATTTAAAAAAGACCCTACTAATAGCCTAACGATAAAAACCAACAAAATCATCACAAGTTCGACCTCCCTAATCGAACCAACTAAACGTCCCTCCCTAAAACCTGCTGCAAGACCTCCTAGACTCTATGGTCTTCCCAATATTCATAAAGAAGGCACCCCACTACGACCCATCGTATCCAAGATCAACTCCCCTACCTACAGGCTAGCCCGTTTTCTGTCAGATACCTTGCTGACTTTCACTGGCAAGACCACCTCAGCAGTACTTAACTCAGCCCAAATGGTCTCTATGGTCAAAGACGTTGTACTGTCTCCTGACGATATCCTTGTCAGCTTCGATGTGGCCTCTCTGTTCACCAATGTCCCAGTACCTGATACCATTGAAATAATTGAAAATTTGGTCCAACATGGACTAGACCCCGATACACCTGCGCTGGTTAGGCACTGCCTCACCAATACCTACTTAACTTGGAATGGCACCTTCTACAAACAAAATGAGGGTACCCCCATGGGCTCCCCCTTGTCACCAGTGATTAGCCAATGTTTTCATGGAGAAATTTGCATCAGACGCCATCCAGACTTCCACCCTCAGACCTTCCCTGTGGAAGAGATATGTAGACAACACTTTCGTCATTTGGCCACATGGCCTCCCAGCTTTGAACCTTTTCCGAGACCACATCAATTCCAGACACCCCGCCATCAAATTCACCATGGAAGTGGAGAAAGATGGAAAGCTGCCATTCTTGGATGTTCTGTTTGAGAGGAGACCTGATGGCTCATTGGGACATTCTGTCTACAGGAAACCCACCCACACAGATTCCTACTTGAAACCTGATTCCGACCACCACCCGACTCAAAATAATTATCTCATCAAAACGTTATACCACAGGGCCGGTCCAGTACATCATTTCATGCTACATCATTTGATGTTAATTCCTTTGTCAAGGCGTTTTTTGTTTCCTCCCCCACACATTAAAGGACACGACCAACGCTACCAACGCTGTCCTCTGAACAGTCTGGTCCCTTCACCTGATGAAGGCCACTTGTGTTGTAGCCGAAACGTCGTGGTTTTTTGTTGTTTTATTTTTTACCTACGTGACTTTACCGAAGAGAACCAAAGAGTATAAAAAAGTAGTTTTAGTCGTTTTTGAGTTTCAGTGCCGTGGGCCACATCTCACCCGTGGGGGCGCGGGGCTTGACGCTGACGGGGGAGCTCCAGGCCCCCCACTCTCCTGCGAGGCTCACGCCGTCGGGCCTGGCACGCACCTGCACCAGGTAGCCCGGCCCGGCCCGCAGGCTGTGCAGCCGGTGGTAGCCTCCCTCGGCACGGCCCACACTCACGAGCTGATGGGGGGCACCGGTGGTGGGGGTGAAGGGGGGCACCGGGGGGGGGCACGGAGGGAGACGTGCACAGAACGCTGCAGCCAATCGGAGTCGGATTGAGCCTCACAGTGTGCGGCAAGGCACACGGCATCACCAGGGACAGCTTGGGGTTGGCGTTAGCAATAGGATTTGAATTGGGGTTAAGAATAGGGTTGGAGATTAGGGGGTATGATGTTAAGTATTAGGGTTAGAGATAAGTTTGTGTTTATGGTTAGGATTATGGTCAGGGTTAATAATAGAGTTGGGGTGAATGTATAGGATTATGGTTAGGATTAGGGTGAGCGATACGTTTTCAACGAGGGATAAGATTGTGGTTGGGGTGTGGGGCAAAGGAGGAACGGCAGTGGCGGACCTTCCAAACGGAAGAGTTGTCGGCGATGTAGCGCAACTCGTAGTGAAGGTGCTCGCTCAGCTCCTGGCTGGGCGGCCCCCACGCCACCGTCACATCGCCCGCGGAGCCGTCGGGCTCGGCGCTCACGTTCACGGGGGGGCCCGGTCGCACTGTCCATACGTGACCATTAGCATCGCCGTTATCGTCATCATCATCACCATCGTCACGATCATCATCGTCGTCATGGTCATCATCGTCGTCCCAATCATCATCGTCATCACGGTCATCATCGTCGTCACGATCATCATCGTCGTCACGGTCATCATCGTCGTCACGGTCATCATCGTTGTCACGTTCATCATCGTCGTCACGATCATCATCGTCGTCACGATCATCATCGACGTCACGATCATCATCGTCGTCACGGTCATCATCGTCGTCACGATCATCATCGTCGTCACGGTCATCATTGTCGTCACGATCATCATCGTCGTCACGGTCATCATCGTCGTCGCGATCATCATCGTCGTCACGGTCATTGTCGTCGTCACGGTCATCATTGTCGTCACGATCATCATCGTTGTCATGGTCATCAACGCTGTCATGGTCATCATCGTCGTCACGATCATCATCGTCATGGTCATCATCGTCGCCATGGTCATCAACACTGTCATGGTCATCATTGACTTCATGGTCATCGTCATCAAAGGTTTATTTTATCTTAACTTGCGTGAAGTGCTCTGAACCTAGTGGTATGAGAGGCACTCGAAGATAAACATTAGTATTACTCATTAAAACTGCCTGAAAACTCCACAAGGACGGGCTAAATAAAATCAGTCGCCATTCTAACTGCCTGGAAATTCACGAATCCTCCCTCAATGTTCAAGTCGTGCCAAAACAGCCTCAACGCGTCCGGGAGTCCGGTGACCAGGATGACCATCGTCATCATCCAGACTGTCAAGAGAAGCGAGCGGGGCATGAAAGGGACGATGGCAAAGAAAAACTATGGAGCGACAGCCAACGAACGGAGCGCGTCCAAGAGGACGGCCGCCGTGGAAGAGATGGAGCGACGAAATCAGTTCTTGTGCGGGTGCTGGACGCGTCGTTGCATTGTAGGATGGCGACAGCCTTCATCCAGCAGTGGATTGATCGCGGCTGAGGATTAGAGGTCCACCGCTCGCCACTCCCTGAGACCGGCACTCGTCGAACGCAAAACGCGAAACGCCACCGAGGGAGACGCCGCGGTGAACCCTCTCGCAGGAGAGGAGATGGGGGCAGCCGAGTGCCATGGCCAGGATTCGGCATCGACCCGCGGTGGCCAACCGGCGTCTCCCCAGCCGCTCTTCAATCCGCGGCGTGCAGCTCTATCGAAGGGGCATAACGTAGAACGCGCTACCGCAGTAGGAGCAAAGAGATAATGAACGTCCATAATAGAGGATTCTTTGGGGTTTGATCGCGTAAATATATAAATGTGAACTTGCCAATTGGCCAATTGGCATGTTATGTTTACGCGCCAACCCTTACTAGTTGGCTGTGTCGGGTGGTGGCGGGTTTTAACGAGACATTTACATATTTACGCGATCAAACCCAAAAAACCTCTGTTATGTATGATATTGGTCGCTAAAGCCTACGTGTTAAACTGATAATGAACGCCTCCCTTGCTGTGCCAAAAGCCGTCTAAATATACTTATATATTATACACACTTGGCTCTTTGCAGAACCCATGGGTAACTTTTTGGCTCGTGGTGTGTTACAGGTTGGCCATCCCTGGCATAAACAGTTGCACTGGATGGGGCCGTGTGTAACAGGATGGGTGCGTCCTATTTCCGAGACCGGCATTGGAGTGGTTTCCACAATTCAGCTGACCAAGGGGAAGAGAAGGCCTAAGAGGCAGATGGTGGGAGACTGTCAGGACTGTCTCTGGGTCTATGTATGGGTGTCAATGTGAGTCTATCAGTCTATGTGAGTCTCAGGCCACACGGTGGGAAACTATACAGGCAGATCTGTGTGTCTCCATGTGAGTCTATGGGTCAATGTGAGTCGAAGGCCACACGGTGGGAGGCTGTCAGGGTAGATCTTGGAGCTCGCTGCGTGTCAACCCAGCGGTAGCAGCAGTTGTATGATCTGGTGGAGGGTGGCACGCGTTGCCATTGAGGTGCGGTGGTCGTGGTGGTGGTGGCATCGAGGGCTTCTTGAAACACTCGGCGCCCAGCCGTCGCTCCGGCTAATCGATGAGCACAGTTTGCTACGTACGGTGAGGCGAAGTTACATACAGTTTAACACGTAGGCTTTCACAACCAATATTATGAAGTTACATACATGCACAAAACAAAGACAAAGATCCCCCGTATATCCTTAACAGAGTGTTGGGGCAAGTGCTGTAAGCGAGCGCCTATTAAGGCCAAAACGGCACACGAGGGGGTGGGTGGCCATCACCACGCTCGACCGCCTTTGTCTTCCCAGTGGCGATGTTTTTACGCACCGCAAAAGGAACTCATTTGAGGCTGAATCGACCTAGGGGAGGCCCAGGACCGGCTCAGATAATAATCACTGGTGCTGGCCTTGAGCAGGGATCGAACCTGGGTCGCTGGGTGCATAGTGCAGAGCACTAACCACTACACTACTGCTCCCCACACACGTACACACACACGTACACACACGTACACACACACGTACATATACACACACGTACACACACACGTATACACACAAGTACACACGTACACACAAACGTACACACACACACGTACACAACAACAACAACCGCCATTCGCCACTAAGTGGCGGTGACGTCACCACGACGCTTGTGCCAGGCCATGTGCACCTTGAGGACATGTGAAGTGTCAAACACCCGCTGGCAGGAGGTCACGGGGCAGACCCAGGTGCCACGGGTCGACTGACTGATATGACTGGCTGATGCACCACCTGTGCCCCCTACTGTGCCAACCTGCTGTGCTTTAGCCACCCGGCGCTCCGCTCGTTGTTGTGAGCGTCGCTCCTCCGCCCTCCGTTGTTGTTGGAGGGCGACTGCCTCCAACTGCCCAATAGCGTCCTTCACGAGCCTCCTCCACAGAGGCCGATCTTGACACCGCTGGTACCAGTCATTGGCAAGTCCACTCAGCTCCACGTCCTCCTGTACCACATCACTCCATCTCTTCTCTAGCCCATGCCGCGCCCCTTTAGCCCCCTCGATCTGGCCGAACAAAAGCTGTTTCGGCATGCAGTGGCTGGGCATGCGGCCTACATGACCCAGCCAACGCAGCCTTGCCTACCGGAGGAGCTCACCGATGGGACCTTGCCCAGATCTTTCAAGGATTTGTGAGCGCCTCACACAATCCAGCCTGATTAAACCCAGGATGGATCGTAGGCAGGCTAGCCTAAATCTTTCTAACTGGTGAAGATTTTCCATTAGGGGGGTCCACGTTTCGCAAGCGTAGAGAAGGGAGGGAATGACCCTGGCCGAGAAGACCTGAAGCTTAGTGCGGAGCGACAGACCAGGTAGCTTCCACACAGCGTTACGCAACCAATGAAAATATATTGCCGCTCGACTGATTCGGAGTGAGACCTCTGCCGTTAAACTGGAGCCCGTCATAAGCACACTGCCCAGGTATGGGAAAATCTCCACTCTCTCCACAACTGCCCAATCACCGATTGGGAGTTGTGGGGGTGGAGTGTCCGATAGTACAAAATACCCAGGCAGGTGCTTAGTTTTGGTGGGGCTGATGGTAAGGCCCCATCTCTTAGTGGCACGCTCCATTCTCAGCAGCAGCGTCTCCAACTCCTCCTCTGATTGAGCAGCTATTACCAAATCATCGGCATACATAACGTGGTTGAGCAATAGGGAGCCATCCCTTGACTGCACCCGGGCATCGATCAGCCTCCCATTATATCTGTACCATATGGAGATTCCTCCGGTACAGCTATTGAAGGCTTCACGAACTACATGGTCAAAATAGATGTTAAATAATGTGGGAGCCAGAGGACATCCCTGTCGCACCCCAAGGTGTACAGGTGATGGCTCTGACTCCCGGCCACGTAGTTTTACCCGGGCCCGCTCACCATCATGAAGGTCCTTAATGATCGTGAGCAGAGGGTCAGGTACTCCAAAAGCACAAAGAACAACCCAGAGCCCAGGCCTACTGATGGTATCATAGGCCTTGACCAGGTCAATAAAGCAGAGATGTAGGTCTTGCTGGAATTCCCTACACCTCTGCTGTAGCAGACGGACAGAAAATATGGAATCTGCGCAGGACCGCCCTTTCCTGAAACCGCATTGGGGCTCCGCAAGCCTCTCCTCAGCGTGCCTGGCAAGGTGATGTTGAATAATCCTTGCCAGGACCTTTCCCGGCACACGGAGGAGTGAGATGCCCCTGTAGTTGTTACAGTCTCTGCGGTCCCCCTTCTTAAAGAGGGAGACCACCAGGGCATCCTTCCTATCCTGCGGAACCCGTCCAGTGGTCCAGACTGTTGTTATGATGTCATATAGGGCAGTCTGTGCACAAACGCCACCCTCCCTCAGCATTTCGCTTGGGAGATCATCTCTGCCCGCAGCCTTTCCTGGTCTCAGACTCCGGATCGCCTTCAGTACTACCTCAACAGATGGCACTTCAGCCAGCCACTCACAGGGTGACTTCTTCCAATATTTGAGGCACCGCAGCCTCAGCAGGGTCATCCTCACTTTGTGCCACAATGTATTCCTGGCTGAGGGATTTTCCCTCCCCCAGGACCTCACAGAAATGCTCAACAAATCTGCAAACCTGTTCCTGGAGGTTCGGAGATTGGATCACCGTTTTTTCCCCTAATGATGGTAATAGGTGTGGCGCTGCAGGTTACTTTTTTGATGGAGTTAAATAGAGACTTGTGATCGCGGGCCACTGAGGAAGACTTCATCTCCTCAGCTACCCGCGACCACCACCCATCCTTGCAGCACCTCACGGCTCTCCAAACCTCCGAGCGAAGGCTGCGGTAAGCCTCCTCATTCTCTGACATGGGATTCTGGAGCCGATGACAGTGGGCCTGTCGCTTTTTCTCAACTATCCTGAACACCTCCTCTGTCAGCCAGGGTCTCTGGGGAGGTCTGGACCGCATACCCAAAGCAGCCAATGCAGCTGAATGAGTGACAGTCCTAAACCTCGCCCATTTACCCTCGACATCAGGAGGAGTGGGGGACGATGCCAACCCCAGCCGCAGGCAATGATGAAATTCTCGCTTGCAACTTTCATCAGATAACTGAGACCAGGCCACTTTAGGTTGGAATGGGGTCCTGGGTGTACACCCACCACCGGAGTGGAAGAATGCCAGGCGCATCTTACAGATGACAAGTCGATGGTCAGAGGGCAGATCAGCTCCACGGTAGGTCCTGGTGTCAAGGACATGGGCTTGCATCCGCTGGTCCGTCACTATGTAGTCCAGCAGATGCTCTTGCTTGGACCCGGCATGCATCCATGATGTTGTGTGGATGCGCCGATGCCAGAACAACATGTTGGTAATTACAAGCCCATGGGCTGTACAAAAATCTAGCAGCCTCCTACCGTTGTTATTGAGCTGATCTGGCCCATGCCCTCCAATCACTCCAGACCAGGTGCCAGCATCATGACCCACTCGGGCATTGAAGTCACCCAACAAGATGACTCTATCCCGTGGGGCCACTTTAGCCAGCACCTGTGACAGGAGGTCATAGAAGGCAGCAGACACGTACACACACGTACACACACGTACACACACACGTACCCACACACACACGTACACACACGTACATACACACGTACCCACACACACACGTACACACATACACATACACACACGTACACACACACACACGTACACACACGTACATACCCTGCTGACGCACGAGGAAGGGCCCTAGCTGCACTTCGTGCCGCCCGTTTGCGTTGGAGGCGTTCACGGTCACCAGCACGGCGCTGTCTTCATGCACGGGGAAGCCGCAGCGCCAAGTCGGGCCTCGCTCCACTTCCTCGTCCCGCTTCTCCCGCTGCCACTCAGCAGCACAGGGCTGAGTTCGCCCCCCGCTGCCGGCGCACATACACACGCACACGCACGCATACACACACGTGTATGAGCACGCACGCACGCAGACACATGCATGAACACGCACGCACGAACACGCACACATGAACAAGCGCACACACGCGCACAACGGCGACGTTGTCGTGACAGCACCCAGCGGTAACGCCGTTCCACCGCTTGCGCAGATGTCCGCGGTTTGAATCCGGCAGGCCGCCCTGGTTATTACTGCTGGGGGTGCTTTCACAGTGGATGTTAAAGAGCCTGTGACGTCATTCAAAACGAGGAATAGGCCATCGTGTAGCGGGGTCATGGTCCAGATTTTACAACTAATAAAAAATGACAGCGCAAACTACTCAATCGGAATTATATGCAGCAGCAATAATCGCCCCCCTACTGGCAGACTGATGACCGTTTGCAGGCCAGGCACTGAGTCACCTTGTGCCGCACAGGGACAGCTGCCACTGGGGGTGCCCTGTTTAACTGTTTGAGATGAGACGCGAGGATGCCAGTGAAGCCGTGAGACTCCACGGCGTGAAGAGGAGTGTGGCGCTACCAACACACAAATCGTCGTCATCGTCATCATTGTCATCATCGTCATCATCGTCATTGTTGTCATCGTCGTCATTGTCGTCGTTGTCATCGTCATCGTCGTCATCCTCGTGATCATCGTCGTCATTGTTGTCATCATCATCGGCGTCGTCACCACGACGGTCAAAACATCTCAGCGTCGCCGCAACACGACACGCAGCGCCATTACCCGAGTCGATATGAAGCCGTGAAGAAGGTGCCGCTCAGGTTGGCGGCTCGAGCGCCTTGCCACTCGCAGACGACAAACAGCAGGTCGGCCGTGAAGCAGCGGACGTCCAGCTTCCCTGGGAACGACGACAACAAGGATCAGGATGGGCCGCTCGCGTGCGAACTCGACGAGGCTGGGGTCGCCACCAAGCCGGGGAATTGCCGTTGTGCGTGTCGGGTGGCAGCAATCGATTTGTACTGACACCCAGCACTGTTGTTGCATTGAATTTCATCGCAGGGACTGCCGACTGAGAAATGTGTCCGGGTTTGCTCTGTGGGAAAGGGAGCTCAGACGCGGAGTCGACACCGCTGACATCCTGGCTTTGAATTTGGATTTCAGTAATTAAAACCGGGGTTTCAAGCATAGCTAGTCGATGGTCTCAGCACAATCACCAATCACTTTCATCGAGACCCATAGACTCACACAGAGACCCATAGATACACAGACTGAGTTGTGATTAAACCAGATTTTGTTATCAGCTGTGCCAAATGGAGAAGTGACGACACTACATTTTACTTGCACAGTGATCTGATCCAAAAATATATTGTGAATCAAAGCAGAAATAGTGTACATATCACATTTACCACGAAAAGAGAAATGTACACGCATTTAGTCCTTAGATCAACGATTTATGTTTGAGGCCTATCATCCTACTTTGTTGATTTCGTCAAACAGCATAATCTATCAGGCAAACTCCGGTCATCCTCGCAGCGGCCTTTGGCTAACCACCGAACAAAGACGGTCACCGGATCACGTGCTTTCCAATATGCTGCTGCGGCTGTCTGGAACGCTCTTCCTTCCCATATTTAGGACGCCACTGGAGCTATGCACTTCTAAATTTAAATTGAAAACGAATTGCTTTAAAACTGCTAAAAAAAACACGCGAGGATCTCGGATCTCCAGAAGCGCACACACACGCGGATCTCAAGACACGCACACAGACGTGGATCTCCAGACGCGTGCCCACACGTGGATCTCCAGACGCGCACACACACGCGGATCTCCAGATGAACGAGAGCGGCATCAGAGGGGTGAGGCGGAGGCAGCGGCGAGCTCACCGGTGACGAACGGAGGGGCCGCCGTCACTGCCGGCGACCATGCGCTCCAGGGCCCTGCGTACTGACTCTGGTCCGAGGGCCGGGCCCTGACGCGGAACCTGTACATGGCGGCCTCCTCGTCCGGGAAGTGCAGCTCCGCGGAAGTGTTGTACGCGGTCTTCTCCTGCAGCCAAAACACACGCTCGGCTCCCTTCACGGAGCACGCGGCAACGGAGCGGGGAGATTTCCTGCCGCCGGACTCGGCGAGCAGGGGGCTGTGAACGGCAGGTCCCCGAGGACACCGACGCCTTGTCAGGGCTCCCCCTCACAAAAGACCCAACGCAGATGATCTCTGGGGTCGACGCTCACAGTTCACCCTAATACCACGTCCACACAAACCGTGGCAGTAGATACGGATACCTGATGCCCGACTGGACAATGTAAAACTCTCCAGCGGTGTGTGACTGTGGTCATCCAGAACAGACCATACAACAGGTAACGACGCAATGCCCCGATCCACAAATGCGAAGGAGACGTCACCGTGATACGGTACCGCTGCTCCTGACGCGGTTATCTGGACCTGACCATCTGAATGTGAAATTGAATTCGTTGCTCTGCATCTACATCCGCCGTACGGAAGAAGAAGGAGGAGGAGAAAGAGCGGGAAACTCGCTCCGGCTTGGAGCGCGAGCACGGATCGCTCGAAAGACGTGACGGCCGTGCCAGGGGGAGGAGGGGGGCAGGGAGGGGGGCAGCTGATCACAGCCGAGGGCTCTCACGTGCGGTGTGGCGGTGGGCTCGGGGGTCGCGAGGCCGCCCTCCGTCACCCGCTCGTAGCGTAGCTGGAAGAGGAGCGCGAAGTCGCTGCCCGGGGCAGGCGCCCACGACGCGCGCAGGCGGCCCTGGCGGCCGTCGCTCCTCACCGCCAGCTCGCCCGGCGGGTCGACCAGAACTGGCAGGGCAGCAGCAGCAGCAGCGGCGGCAGCGGTCAACACCGGACATCGGCGCCATCTCTCCTGCGTCTCCCCCCATCTCCCCCGCGTCTCCCCCGCGTCCCCCCCGCGTCTCCCCCGCGTCCCCCCCGCGTCTCCCCCGCGTGCTCCCCGCGTGCCCCCCGCATCTCCTCCACATATCCCCAGGGTCTCTCCCGCGTCTCCCCCTCGTCCCCCCCCGCGTCCCCCCCGCATCTCCCCCGCGTCTCCCCCGCGTCTCCCCCACATGCTCCCCGCGTCTCCCCCGCGTCTCCCCCGCGTCTCCCCCGCGTCCCCCCCACGTCTCCCCCGCGTCTCCCCCGCATCTCCCCCACGTCTCCCCCACATCTCCCCCCACGTCTCCCCCGCGTCTCCCCCTCGTCCCCCCCGCGTGCCCCCCGCATCTCCTCCGCGTCTCTTCCGCGTCTCCCCCACGTACCCGCCGCATCTCCCCCGCGTCTCCCCAGCGTCTCCTCCGCGTATCCCCCGCGTACCCCCCGCGTCTCCCCCGCCTACCCAGCTGGTCGATGTAGACTCTGTCCGCGTGGTAGAGCGGGGAGAGCCGCGCAGTGGCGCCTACACCTGCGCCGGGCCGCTCCCGCGGGATGGTGATGCGGAGCGGAGTGAAGTGGATGACGTCCCTCTCCGGGAAGCGGCAGCGAAACGTGGCCAGGAGGCCGCCGGGGGTGCGCTCCAGATGCGGCTCCCGCGACGAGGGGCACTCCATCACCCCCTCCTCACCATCCTCCTCCTCCTCACTGGGGACACGAGCACATGGACGGCCAACCTCATCACACACATTATTATCGTCATTATCGATTATCGGCTTTTATTGCTGGGGCGAGTGCCGTGAGCGAGCAGCTCTGAAGGCCCGTACGGCGCACGAGGGGTGGGTGGCCAGCACCACGCTCGGCCACCTTCGTCTCCCGAGTGCCGATGTTCATCAATTGCAGCAGGTACTCAATTAAGGCCGAGTCGTCCTAGGGGAGGTCCAGGACCAGTTAAAATATTTACTTCCACTATCGCTCGTGAACAGAAATTTACCTCGCAGGGATCATAGCGAGTGCGCCAGTGTGTGGGTGGGTGGCGGGTGGGTGAGTCGGTGGGTGGGTGGGTGAGTCACTTGGTTAGTGTGTGAGTGAGTGAATGGTAGAGTTTGCAGGTGAGTGAATGGCTGGGTGAGCGAGTTGGTTAATGGGTGGCTGGGTGAGCGAGTAGTGGTCGTGCGTTGTTGTGACCTGAGAGCGGTTGAAATGGCGTGGTCCGTCGGCTGCCAGGCCCACTCACTCACTCACCTACACACTCACTCACTCACGCACTCACCCACACACCCACTCACTCACTCACCCACACATCCACTCACCCCCACACCCACTCACTCGTAGAAGGCGTAGAGGAGCCTCGAGTGCTGGAGCTCAGCTGGCACCTCCTCCAGCTCGCCCCCCAGATCGCCCCTCACCCCCCACTCACAGCTGAACTCCTCCTGGCGAGGAGCTCTGCACCGGACGAAGGCGATGCGCGGCCCCAGCGCGGGGTCCACGGTGCCCGCGGGGAAGAGAGAAGCCCCTGCACACCGGGGACACCCAGCACACTCACTCACTGTGTGTGTGTGCAGGGTGCTTCTATACACAACAGGACACCCAGCACACTCATTCACTGTGTGTGTGTGTGCGCAGGGTGGTTCTAGAGACAGGACACCCAGCACACTCACTCACTGTGTGTGTGCAGGGTGCTTCTATACACAACAGGACACCCAGCACACTCACTCACTGTGTGTGTGTGTGTGTGCGCAGGGTGGTTCTAGAGACAGGACACCCAGCACACTCATTCACTGTGTGTGTGTGTGCGCAGGGTGGTTCTAGAGACAGGACACCCAGCACACTCACTCACTGTGTGTGTGTGCAGGGTGCTTCTATAGACAACAGGACACCCAGCACACTCACTCACTGTGTGTGTGTGTGTGCGCAGGGTGGTTCTAGAGACAGGACACCCAGCACACTCACTCACTGTGTGTGCAGGGTGGTTCCACAGACAGGACACCCAGCACTCTCACTCACTGTGTGTGTGTGTGCTGGGTGCTTCTACAGATAGGACACCCAGCACACTCACTCACTGTGTGTGCAGGGTGCTTCTATAGACAACAGGACACCCAGCACACTCACTCACTGTGTGTGTGCAGGGTGGTTTTATACACAACATGACACCCAGCACTCTCACTCACTGTGTGTGTGCAGGGTGGTTTTAGAGACACGACACCCAGCACTCTCACTCACTGTGTGTGTGCAGGGTTGTTCTAGAGACAGGACACTCAGCACTCACACTCACTGTGTGTGTGTGCGGGGTGGTTCTAGAGACACGACACCCAGCACTCTCAGTGACTGTGTGTGTGTGCAGGGTGGTTCGGGGTTGCTGAGGAGATGGAGTCTGCCTCAGTAGCCCGCGATCACAAATCTCTATTTAACTCCATCAAAAAAGTAACTTGCAGAGCTACACCTATTACCATCACTAGGGGAAAAACGGTGATCCAATCTCCGACCCCCAGGAACAGGTTTGCAGAGTTGCTGAGCATTTCTGTGAGGTCCTGGGGGAGGGAAAATCCCTCAGCCAGGAAAACATCGTGGCACAAAATGAGGATGACCCTACTGAGGCTGCGGTGCCTCAAATATTGGAAGAAGTCACCCCCTGTGAGTGGCTGGCTGAGATGCCATTTGTTGAGGAAGTACTGAAGGCGATCCGGAGTCTGAGACCAGGAAAGGCAGCGGGCAGAGATGATCTCCCAAGCGAAATGCTGAGGGAGGGTGGCGTTTGTGCACAGACTGCCCTATATGACATCATAACAACAGTCTGGACCACTGGACGGGTTCCGCAGGATTGGAAGGATGCCCTGGTGGTCCCCTTCTTTAAGAAGGGGGACCGCACAGACTGTAACAACTACAGGGGCATCTCACTCCTCCGTGTGCCGGGAAGGGTCCTGGCAAGGCTTATTCAACATCGCCTTGCCAGGCACGCTGAGGAGAGGCTTGCGGAGCCCCAATGCGGTTTCAGGAAAGGGCGGTCCTGCACAGATGCCATATTTTCTGTCCGTTTGCTACAGCAGAGGGGTAGGGAATTCCAGCAAGACCTACATCTCTGCTTTATTGACCTGGTCAAGGCCTATAAAACTATCAGCAGGCCTGGGCTCTGGGTTGTTCTTCGTGCTTTTGGAGTACCTGACCCTCTGCTCACGATCATTAAGGACCTTCATGATGGTGAGCGGGCCCGGGTAAAACTAGGTGGCCGGGAGTCAGAGCCATTCCCTGTACACCTTGGGGTGCGACAGGGATGTCCTCTGGCTCCCACATTATTTAACATCTATTTTGACCACGTAGCTCGTGAAGCCTTCAATAGCTGTACCGGAGGAATCTCCATATGGTACAGATATAATGGGAGGCTGATCGATGCCCGGGTGCAGTCAAGGGATGGCTCCCTATTGCTCAACCACGTTATGTATTTTTCGATTGAAAGCTTTCGTGACTGCAAGGATTCATCTTCATTGGTTATTTCGGTAAAGTCACGTAGAATGAGAATAAAATGATAAAAAAACAAGATAAAATAACACTATAAAATTATCACGACGTTTCGGCCACAACACAAGCAGCCTTCTTCAGGTGAAAGAACAGAACTGTCGGGACGACAGAGCTGCTAAGATTCGCAGCGTTTTTTTAAGCTCAGTGAGAGGAACGGCGAGCCTTGACAATGGAGTTTACATATCAGAGCAGGAAAATTTAGCATTGAAATATTCGAGGGATTAGCTTGTGACAGAAATAGCAGTGTTAAAGTCAAAGTTCACATATCCACAGAAGCATTTAGTATATGGACGCTAAAGGCCTCCAATTACCAACTATTATGAAGTAAACCATAGCGTCTTTTAAGTTCGGTGAGAAGCGTGAAGAGCCTTGACAAAGGAGTTTACATATCAGAGCAGGAGAATTTAGCATTGAATAGCCGAGGGATTAGCTTGTGACGGAAATAGCTGTGTTAAAGTCAAAGTTTAAAAATCAACAGAGGCATTTAGTATATGGACACTAAAGGCCTCCAATTACCAACTATTATAAAGTAAACCATAGCGTCTTTTAAGCTCGGTGAGAAGCGTGAAGAGCCTTGACAAAGGGGTTTACATATTAGAGCAGGAGACTTTAGCATTAAAGTAGTCGAGGGATTAGCTTGTGACAGAAATAGCTGTGTTAAAGTCAAAGTTTACATATCAACAGAGGCATTTAGTATATGGACGCTAAAGGACTCCAACTGACCAACTATCATAAAGTAAACCGATGTAAAAAAAACTAAGTTTATTTCAATGCTAAATTATATGCTAATTCCTTTGTCAAGGCGCTTTGTTTCTTCTGACACAGCTTAAAGGTCGTGATCTGAACGTGGCTTTTTTCACTCCAGCGCTGTCCTAGCAGACAGTCTCGTCCCTTCACCTGATGAAGGCCGCTTGTGTTGTGGCCGAAACGTCGTGAGAATATTATTGTGTTATTTTATTTTATCAATTTATTATTTTATTCTCATTCTACGTGACTTTACCGAAAGAACCAAAGAAGATGAACTAAGTCTATATCACATCATTATAATAAATGTACTTAATATATTCTTCAATAAGCTGAGCTATTAATCATACAGCAACTGGGTATACATTACACTATATAATGAATACCATATCGTAAACCAATAAAAAAGTAAAACATAAGCTCCTAACAATAAGTCGTTATATATCAATGTTATATGGTGAAAAATAGCGGTTTTTCCCATCCCCTCAACATCAGCACCAAGGACAGCGACGTTTAGGCGGACGAGTCAATCCCTGCTCGGAAGGGAGGAGGAGTGAGGGAGAAACAGTCACAATGCCAGCGAAAGAGCTGCGGTCTGACGGTCACCGTAAAATACAATTAATTAAGAACCGAAATGGTTTAAACATCTTTGCAATGGTTACTAAGCCAGAATCCATCTTCTCGGTTGAACTTGTCTCTGTGTTTGTATATGTGGATGGCCTCATGAACGAATCTCTCATGGTAGCCGGTTGGCTTGCAAAGAACCTCCGTCTTGGAGAAGTCAATGTCATGTGAACCCACTGAATTATAACAGTGATCTGCCACGGCAGAAGAGTTCGTCCTACCGTGTTTCAAGTCTGCTTTATGTTCGCGGATGCGGTCCGAGATATGTCGTTTGGTTTCCCCAATGTAGTTGCTACCACAGAGGCATTTTAGTTTGTAAACGCCCGGGTACTGTATGTCTGGAACAGCATCTTTTACAGATGGAACCAGATCACGGATTTTATGTACTGTGTTGAATCGGACCTGGATCTTGTGTTTATTCAGGATTTTGGAGATCTTTTTAGTAACCCCTGCAATGTAGGGTAAGGTGATGGTTTTGAGTGGCTCTTCAAGAGGATCCTTCTTCATGACTGGAGTGATGGCTTTGCGGATTGTGTAGTTGTAGTAACCATTAGCCCTGAGAGCCTGGTGTCGTGAGAAATGTATTGCGTTATTTTTTTTTAATTCTCATTCTACGTGACTTTACCGAAAGAACCAAAGAAGATGAATCCTTGCAGTCACGAAAGCTTTCAATCGAAATTTAACCGCCTCTACGGGGAGGGATTCCACACAACCTTAAGATCATTCAACAGACTCCGGGATAAGAAGGCTCAACTAATCGAGTCTCTCACCTTTCTGAAGAGATGCCGCGACTCTAAGGTAATACCAACCGCATTTACACTATCCTCTGCTGTTGCAACTTCTCTTAGTGCAAAACGAATTCTTGCTAGATCTAGCTTAGCTCTTATCTCCGAAAAAATCAGACTTACACGCACCGAACTTGGTCAGTTATACAAGATACTCTACAAATCACACTTAACATTGACAGCAACGATGTCTACATTGGATTGGGAACATGTAGGCAATATGACTACCTCTTTGGCTGCCACTATGTCGACCAAATGTAGGGACAACTTGATTTCCAAATTTAATCGCCTCTCCAACAAAAAATCGGATCCACACACCGAAAAGATAGATGTTAACAAAGTCGTAATTAATCGCAGTAACAGTCCCATTTCTGATGGCCTGAAATACGTTTTAGCTAAAGGGCTAAACTTTGCTGTCACACCGAGACACATACCAGTTAATGATATCATTGCCCATGTTGACGTTGCACTTAAGGGCTTGAGTCACATTGCTGCACACGAAGCAAGATCTGAAATCTCTGCAACCCTCCAAAACGCTAAGATGCCACCTAGCAACATCAGCAAAGATGAACGCTTTGAATTATCTCAATTAAAAAAGAGAGATGATATTGTCGTCCTCTCAGCCGACAAGGGCAATGCCACTGTCGTCATGGACAAAACAGAATATAACAACAAAGTTCAAGAACTACTCAACGATGGCAGCTATACAATAATAAAAAGGGATCCCACCAACAGCCTGGTTACCAAAACGAACAAAATAATCTCTGATTCAACATTATCAATTGATCAGACAAACAGTTCTCGTTGAAACCCTCTGCTGCTAGACCACCAAGATTATATGGCCTCC